TAGTTAAAAACCAAGCAAAATTTTCAAGCTCGTTTGTTGTTAGACATATGACTGTTATATCATCAAAATTTTTATTTTGTTTTATGAAATACGGTTCCTCATCCGGAACTGAACGAGCAAGCGTGGAATCCAAAAAAAAAATCTTCATGATCTTGCTGTGAATACTAAAACCGTCGTGAGAGTTAGGGAGAAGGCTCCTTCCTGTGATGCTTTTGAAATGCTCCCACACCGGTGCAGCAACGTCAGACCCTCCGATGAAAGTCTTATTAATCAAATAGTAAATCTTGCCAGTAAAGATGTGCATTGTTTTTACTTTTATTTTGTGAAAGATGTTTTTGTGGACGGTAACTTTATTCTTTTTGATAACATTATCATCGTGTTGCAGGTATTTCCTTCGATCAGGTGATTACGCGTGCTTGCCAGCGAGATCCAACCTTAAGATACTGCATCGAAGCGAGAGATCGAAATATCACAAATGCTTCCGGAGGACGATCACAATATGCTTCCAAAAACACTGGAAGAATCTTACCAGAGGTAAAATCTGTTCATTTTCTCCTTGTTTATGGTAGTACTTTAATCAAAGGCTGCTCTGTTGGAATGGCCGAAACTTTCTAGAATATTTTAAGATGGCCCAGACAGATATTAAGAGAAGAGATAAATCATCATGAGAATCAGTGGATCTTCAAGCACTTTTTTTTCTTAATATATTTTCCGAGATGGTTCACCATGTATCGGACAGAAGGAGGGTACAAATTGGAGATATGCAGTCCGAGAACGAAAGGTCCCCGTAGCTATGCTTTAAGCTGATAGCATCCCAGCTGCATCACTTAGGATATTCATAGTGACAGCCTGTTCGCTCTTAATATTTTAGTACTCTTTTTTATGACTTTTTTGCAGTTATACAATACACAAAAAGCATATTGACGGGGTTGTCCGTGCGTCCGTGTGCCTGCGTGTGCGTCTGTACCGATTTTTCATCTTAAGACCTATGAAAGTCACAGGGCTGAAACTTTGGAAACTTAATCTACATGCACGTATAGGCCCCAGACCCTAAAATGGGCGCCCTTATCCGCGTGGTATCCCCATAAGAGCCCGCCAGTGTTTTTTACGGGTAAGCTGCTAACTCGGGAACCAGAAATGCTGGGAGGCTGAAATTTTAAGGGGACATTTCCCGTCTACATAGGCATTAGAGAGCTCAAAACCAGCCCCCGGGCAAGCGTGGTACCCACGTACGGGCCCGCCAAATTTTTTCGGGTAAGCCGCTAACTCAAGAATTTGAAAAGCTAGAAGACCGTAATTTTAAGAGAATATTCTCCGTTCACCTAGGTCTCATTGAACTCATATCCAGTCCCCAGGTAAGCGTGGTACCCACGTATAGGCTGGCCAAAATTTTCTCCGGGTAAGTTGCTAATTCGGGAAAATGAGAAGCTAGAAGACTGGAATTTTGAAGGGGTGTTTCCTGACAGCCCTGGCGACTAGTC